ATTGAATGTCATTTCTTCACGTTATCTGATAGTATTTCTGTTTTTATTAATTTTATGATGTTTATTTGATTTCTTTTTTTTTTTTTACTTTAAGTTTATTTATTTCTTTAGAAATTTTCTTTATTTAATTTTCCTTTTGAATATCTAAAAATATTTTGTAATGCATTCTCAATTTGTAAATGATTGTTGCAAGTAGAAATTTTGTAATTTCTCTGGACCATTTCATTCATATTTTCCCATTGTTAGAAAATGAAAATGATCACCAGGGCTTTCTATTGATTAGCTAATGTCAAATAATATTTCAAATAGATTATCTTTTTACAGCAATATTATCTGAAAACATTTTCATCTGTTTTCAGATATAAGAAGAGTTAAATTTTAGCAAAAGACCTTTTAAAAATATGGAATATTTTTTGTTATACTTTTTACAAGATGAAATTCTAACTGAAAAGAGTGGGCTGACCATACTTATTATATCATATCTTAATATAAAGGGTGTGTCAAAAAATGTATACACATTTTGAAGGTTTCTCAAGAAATAATTCAAGCAACTAGAACCAACTATGTCTAATTTAAGTGATGTATATGAAGACTGTATTTATTATAAATGATTGCTCTTCGGATTTTGCCATTGCCTGTTATGATCCAGACATTGCTCATAATACAATGGAATCACAAGCAGCAGCAATCAACATTTCAATAGATTTCTTGGACTTGTGTGAAAACTTTCCATTACCCTCTGTTGCTTCATAGGGCTTGTTGATATCCATGGTCTTCCAGAACAATTCTTGTGCACATCATGTACATAACCAACAGCTTCACATTTATCTCAAATTTGTGAGATTGTAAGTCACGTGGGTGGATCTAAATGAAACTCTTTTTGATACTGTTTTTGAACTTCAACTGCATTTTTGTACTTCCAGTAATATTTGAACATACTTTCTTTTCAGATTTACAGGTTTATATTACTAATGTCATTCAGGCTTAGCTTTGAACAAAATTGACTTGAGCTATACACTGCAAAAGTGTGCATACTACACCCTCTGTATAGAGAGAGGGAGAGATGATTCTTTAAATGCCTTATATATTCTGATGACATTTCTTTAAGCAATATGATTTAGGAGATTGTATTCTTAAACCCGAGTTGAACAGATGTAAAACATGTCAACCTATCTTTCATAGCCAGCAATTGTGATATTCACTTTCAAACTGAAGGAATATGACTGACCTTAAATAATTTTTATATTTAAATTACAATATTTTCTCAGAATAGACTAGAAAATTCTCAATTTAAAAGAGTAAACTTCAAACTTTTAACTATGATTTTATATTTTTTATTGTATATTTTAATGACACATTTTGAATTGGAACCCAATTATAATTTTACAAAAGTAAAAGAAAATTAAGCTGGAAGAATCAACAAATGATCTATTTAATAAGAATAAATTTAGTTAAGCCAATTTGTTGCCAATTTTTACTTATAAACTAAATTGTTTTAATTTCTGTATCTATTTAGTTTTCTCGTGTTGCAATATCATTAATGCTTAAGTAGAAAAAGAAAAAAAAAAGCTTGCTTTTTATTGAAAATAAATCCGTGTAAAGTTAGATTTTTTGGTTTAACTCTAGGAATGTATTTGTTGTTTGCCATTTTTACGTTTTATTGCCCAAAATATGTGGAAATATTTCACTAAATGTTTAAAAAGTTTCAGTGTGGGCTCTTATTTTACATGAAGTTAAAAAAATAATTTTTAAAAAGCTATCATATAAAGGGTGCAAATGTTTAAATTTTTATTTCCTTAACGTTGAAACATTACGGGCATACTTAAAAACGACCTTTCAAAAAACGTAGATGCAAATTGTAATAAGACATTTGGTCCTATACATGCAAATTTTTCTATATGAAAATTAGGAAGTTTTTGTTATTTTCATATATTTTTATAATTGAGTTTAATACCTTTCTGGTTTTTGATAATTTTTAAGTACATAAAACTTTCACAGATTTTCATCTTTTATGGAAAACTAGCATTGTACCCATAAAAAATGATAGAACTATTTATGTCTATTTTATCTTTATTTCTCTGAATATCTAAAATGTCTGAATTACATCTTTTTTTTTTATCTTATCTTTCTTGAGCTCTGTTTTTTACACCTACCAATCAATATTTTTAATTCAAATCCTTGCTCATAAAAATCCAGTAGTTTCAAAAAATTTAACTCAAAATATATTTTTTAAAATTATATAATTCATATATATTCAACCAATTACCAAACTTGTTAAAATGTAATAACAATCCAATGAAAATTAAGTTAAATGTAATAAAAGCTTAAAGGAAAATTTACATTTAAATCAAAAAAATAATAAATAATATAAATAAGGGTAATAGGTTTTAAAAGCACTAGAATATTATTTAAAATATTTTTAAAAAAATAGTTAAAAATAAAATGGTGTCAAGAAAATAGTCTTTACTGTCAGTTTTAATTTTTCTATTATCAAATTAATAACCCATTCTTTGTATATATATATAATTTAAAAAAATTACTTTTTCTATTTATGATAATAATGAAATTTAGCTTGTGTTCTTTCAAATGAATTTACCACATTAATATTTGAACAAAAAAAGAAAGAAAATAATATAAATAATTATTATAAATAATAAGAACATTACCCACCCTAACCCCAGTGTCAAAAAAATGAATTTTAATCCTGGGATATCCTAGATACACCAATTATTTGCCTATTTCCAAGATGGGCATTGGAATTATGGCAGAGTTCCCTTAATTTTATAGATCTGTCTGCTTCATTATAACCACTGATGAAAAACAAACAAAACAAGATGGCCTTTTAAATAATAAGTGTTGATTTTGACCTCAAAATCTAAAGTTATTTTTTAAGCTGTATGTTTTCCCATTCATGTCTATTGTTTAATTTTAAATTCATTAAATATAGTGCAAGATTTGAGAGAGAGGAGTTGGACATCTGAACATTTTGTTAATACACTGATCACTTCAATACCCCCCCCCTTATTTTGAGTGGGGAGACAAAGAATGATCCCTTTCATTTGAGAAAATTTTCCATAATCTTTAATTCTTTAATCTGAGTTTAAGATTTTACAGAAAATATTACTGTTACCATCTCATATTTATTCACGAACTTAGAACAGTCTTTTTCAAAAGGCAAAACATTGTAAGGTTTATTTCTGTCAAGATTTTCCTTTTCAAGATTGAGTTGTGCTTACCAACTTGTCAACATGGTGGGTCATCAGTATATTATGGTTAAATAATTATCAGTGATATAAGCATTTCTGACCTGCTGAATGATACATTAAGATTTCATCATCACTCAAATCTAATTTCTGTTAATCTATTTACAAAAGGAAAAAGTAGTGCTTTCCTTTGAACTATTGGAAATTATATTATTTTCACTTTTATATTCACTTTGAATTTTGGATAATTTGATTTTTATTATTAACTTTGCTACTCCTCACTCACACCTTTCATTAATGAGTTTTATATTTAGTTACTTTTACAAGTTAAAACCATTTGGATGTACAAATTTATTAATGACCACTATCAAATTAAAGCACATAATTGACTTTTTTTTTTTTTCTTTTTGTCTTAATGGCATTTCTCATTTAAGCTGATTATTACAAATTATTAATAAATCCAGTGGATAAACTATGAAAAATTCTGTTTAGACTTTTGCTTACCTATTTATAGAAGAGATTTTGTCAATATATACAAGCTTTAAAATGTATCTGGAGAGAAATAATTTATGAATTACAGTAACTGAAAATGTCTTTTCAGTTTTTATAGTAGTATTAATTTGTTGTGGTAAAATAGATTATTTTTTACTTTTAATACTTCACACCACATTTTTATTTTGTTTGTTTTTTTATTCTATTAAAAACTATTATCAAAAATGATATAAAAAAAAACAAGGGAATCTTATATTTTATGAAGATTTGTGAAAAGGAACAGTATAACTTGTCATTATTTCCAAATTATTATGTAAAAGTCACTGGAATATGCAAATAGATAATCTGTTATTACATAATATTGCAAATGCCTGCCAAAAATGGTATTGGACTTTATTTTTTTTTCTTTTATTTCAGCAATAATAAAGTGATTAAGTCTTTTGTAGCAAGAGAACAAGGACTACATGAATATGAAGTTATGATTACTTTATACACAATAAAGATGTCTTTCAATAATGTGTGTTAGTGAAATATTCATGGAGCCTATCTTAGTGTTAGAATACATCTAGGCCTGTAACACTTATATTGCCCCTTTGTTGCAGTTTGATTGGATTAATCTTTCAAATATTCATATTTTATTCTTTCTATGTAAATTTGTTTTCATTCTTTTAAATGCTTTTGTTGATAATATATTTTGGAACTAACATTTTACTGCAGTGAACACTGGTTCCCAGTATTCAATGCACTAAATTAGTAAAGGTTTAAAGAAGAAATCCCTCTAATGTCGGCTTGTTCTCTACTTTAGTTTCCATAGATAAATAATATTGTTGCTCTTTGAACATTCCTGCTATTTAAAACACTTAAGTGTGGTGGTTACAGCTTGCCTCTTATTTCAGTCTTTTCAAACTTGGACCAGTCATACATTTAACTCAGTTTATTGGTAAAGCTTTGCTCTGTAATTTCAGCTTTCAATAAAATCGACATCATTTTCTTATATTTGGAGTTCATTCATTTGCCAAATAATATAAAAGCCTTTTTGATGAAGAACAAAAATAAATGAAAAAAAGTCATATGTGTATATTATATGAATTAATATTTTTATAATTTCTTCTTTATTTGTTTTAATTTCTGTGTTTCTTATTAATATTTTCTATGTTCTAGTTTATATTAACTGGTTGTCTAATTGTATTTTTAAATTATTTCAATTTATAGAAAATTTGTATTGATTTCTATTCAGCTTCTTTTATTTCTATAATTCTAACCTAAAATGATTTTCTCCTTTTTTTTTTTTTTTTTCCGTTTCAGATTCTATGGAAGAAAACCCCACTGATGATGCATCTCATCATGGCAGTGGAACATTACCTGCCAGGTAATCAGATATTCTTTTCTATTTTAGATAGAATAAAATGCATTTTATCTCATTTGGACTAAGGAAAGTAATCATTCCATTTTCTACTTTTAAATATAACTGATGTGACTGATCTTACTGTTTATCTTATTTTTTTGATTAATAAAAATGAACTTTCAGCTACTGAGCTAGCTTGGAGAGTCATGAGTCTATCACACTATCCATCATGGTCGTGCATCAAGGCTGGGAAGGACATTAGGGTGGCATCCTGTGTCTCTATATAGATGGGCAACCAACCTGTGTCTTGCACCATGGACTGGTGTCCAGAACAGTAGATCACTTGCAAGTTCTTGTTTTGCTTGCCAGCAGTGTCCTGCAAAGTGCATTTTTCTTTCACATAAGATTGTAAAAATATTAGGGATGGGTCGATAGAGCTGTTTTGGATATTGTCTGGAAATCTGATCTCGGCATCTGAGTGTAGGTTCCATCAAGCTTAGACTGTAGGGTTTTAGTTAATGTCCAAGCAGTGCCACCATACATTAAAACCAACTCTACAGTAGCATGAAAGCAGTTCCATTTGAGGTTGTTTAGTAGATCAGATTTCCAGTTTACATACATTTTATTCAAGGTGGTCCAGGCTTTAACTATGTGAATTTTATATCATCCCTTTCATAATATTAATATACTTACATTAAAGGACTTTCAGAAATATTTTTCAATTTTGGAATGAAGTGGGAGAATTCTAAAACTTGAATAACGGACTTTTTTTTTCTTTTTATTAAATAAGAGATTTTTACTGATTTTTACACTTAGTCTAGAAGTTATCAATTGGAATCATTTCAAGAAGCCAACTTTCTCATTGGTAGTTTGCTTGATTTAATGTTCAGATCAATGAAATATTTTTTTTTGTTTTAACCATTTCACCCCAAGCAAGGCAATAAAGTCACTAAGACACAAAGGATTACTGAGTATAGAGAAAAAAAAAACATTGAGAGAGAACAATAAAAGAACAGAAATTAATAAGACAGAAGATAACTACCATTGCATTTAAATTTTTAAAAATCAAAGTTGATTGGGAAGCAAAAAGAGAGATGTGCAATAGGAAAGGCACAGGAACACTATGTTATGGTGGTGGGAAAGTAACTGAAGCCAAGATGCCAGCTCAAGACCAATAACATTGCAGATTCTTCTTTGGATTTAATCAAGAATCTCTAAATATATAGCATGAGCACCAGAACAGATGTAGCAGCAATATTCTAAGCATAGTTGAATGGTAGACATGTTTTTGTTAATCATTTCACCCCAAGCAAGGTAGCAAAGCCACTAAAACACAGGGGATCGCTGAGTGTGAAAGAATATAAGAAAAAGAAAAATATTATTAAAGAGTGAGAACAATAAAAGAACAGAAATTAAGAAAACAGATCATTACATGTTACTGTAGTTTGTTTTCAATTTTACTAGTTTAATTAAAAACTAATTGAAATCAAATTCCTTTTTGTTGTTGTAATTAGAAAGTTACTCATGACGATGAAGTCCTTTCTTAGTTTTTGTCAAGATATTTTGATATAATAAACAAATGATTGTCTTTTTTGAGGAACACACAGTGCAGCAGAAACGTTGGCCAGGATTATGGGAAGTGACAAAATACCAATATTTTCTTCAAGAAAAACCATCTCATAACAGATGATCTGTGAATTGCTATTAAATGATCCTGACTACATTGAAACCTGATGAAAATGTTTTACTGCTATTACTAGAACAAGAAAAATAGTTTGATAGCAACAAACCTGATGACCGAAAAGAAATAATGGATTTATTTCTATCAGAAGCTGGACTTGACACTATAATGAAAGTGTCCTTAAATAGCTCACTCAGAAGGTTTTCAAAAATTGTATTTTGATGAAATAAATAATAATGAATAATATAAGACTAAAAAAGAAATTACTTAAAGCTGAACAGATAAAATTTATCTGTGTCAGTAAAAAAACTAAAAATATTTTATGTAATTTTTGCAATAGTTCTAAATATTGTGAATTTCACAATTATATAAATGTGACTTATTTAATGGTATGTGCAACACATTTTAACAATAAAAAATATTAGAACAATTACAAACAGGAAGTATGTATGTATAAATTCTTTACAACGGCAAGAACTGATATCATTTTTAATATCACTCTTTTTAATGAAATTACATCAAAGCATATATTTTCAGCATGCCATAAAAAAATATTTTTTGAAACAATATGATAGTCTATCAGGATGATATATGTTTGAGAATGCTTATCAAGAAAGAAAAGATCAGAATGAATATGAAACCACTTAACAGACCATGGAATGACCATTAATCCAGACAAGTGATAAAACATATTTTAGGATATTTATTTCAGTGAGAGGTATTTCTCTAGGTTCAAAAGATATTAAATCTTTTTTACCCACTTATTCTTTTTTTCATTTTTTTTTTTTCATTTATTCAAATTTTTTTTTTTTTTTCATTTATTCAAATTTTTTTTTTTTTTGTTTATTTATAAGAAAGTTGATTTTTAAAAGGCCAGATATGTTTAAAAAAAAAAAAAAAAGTGTCCTTGAAAATCATGTAAGGATTTTGATATGAATAAAGAACTTACATTGGCAACTGATGTTAGTGGTACCCTGTTTTGTGTATTTTGTCACAGGCTAACCAGGTGGTACAATATTTATCAATGGGATTAACTGATGCTGAAAAGAATTATTGTAATATAGAAAGGGAAGCTTTGACAGTTGTATAGACCATAATCTTGGCTCACCATTTCTTGAAGTTTGATCGCAGGCCTTGATAATTTACTTTTAAAAAACTACTAAAAGTTATGCCTTTTTCATGTTTGGATATAAACCACAAGGCAGTGGAGGTTTAAAATCAGTTTTCCTTCCCTTAGATGGCCTGAAGTAGCTGGCTTTGAAGCACACGTTTGCCTTCACCCAGTCTCTGGCTTGGAACTGGGCTTAGTTATCATGTGTTATTTTAGATGCATGCCATAGAAGCATTTTATAAAGTCTAGGAGCTTTTCCCTACTATCAACCTTGGCTATGGCAACCTTTGGAAGATGTATATAATGTACATATATAAACATTATATACATTGCCTGTTTTAGAAGATATCGGAAAATTAAGTTTTTTAAATTTTACTCTGAAGGACCCATCCTTTGATGTCGAAGAAGCTAGTGTCTTTGTCTGAGGATCTAACCAAATATTTGGTATTTTTGTATAGCATCATTATGACAGCTATTGTCTGTTTGGGGGAGAGGATCTTCTTTTTTTCCCATATGTACAAAATTGAAGGCTTTTGAGAAATCTACAAAAAGTAAAGTGGCCTGTAGAGTCTTTACCCTGACATCCTCAGTAATCTGCCAAACAGTCAGGATTTGTCCAACAGTTGATGGCTTTAAAAGCACTTTATCCTTACCAAGAAAAATTTGTCATTTTTACCTTGTTTATTGCTGAGTTCACACAATTCCTCATGTTGATAGATTAGAAGAAAAAACCATCTTCCTTGATAGGATATCAAATTATCTACTCTTGAACATATCTTATTCCAATGTGTTATTAAAAAATTCAGAAACTCTGAATTTTGTCATGTAAGTTAATAACAACAGAGCTGTCATTTCAAGGAAATCATGCAGAAAAAATTGAGTCTATGGTTGAACCACTAGAAACAATTTAGGATTCCTATCTGAATTTCTGGAATGAGGAGCTCTTATTATTTACACTATTTATATTCATACTATTGTCTTCATCTTTTTTGTTGTAATCACAATATTTTGGCTGTTGTACCCTCTAGCCTTCCTCGGGTGTATATTTATCTGGGTAACCTGTAGTGAATTCTGAACTGAACTCTTTATTTAATCTATAGAGCTAGACTGTTCTTGTTACACCACCCATGTCTAGTTCTTATTTATAGTACTGCTCAATTATTGCTCACACAGCCCAACCCAAAGATTGAACTCACAACCACTGTCACCAAATTCACAAACCAACATTTTAAAACATTGTCTTGTAGGGTTCAGTTAGAATTCACTGTAGGTTACTCAGATGAATATACACCTGAGGAAGGAACAACAACCGAAACGTTGTGGTAACAACAAAGATGAGGATAATAATCTGAATATAAATAGTGTAAATAACAATCAAGGATGCTGAAGATGTCAATTTAATGGTGTTGCCTTTAATTTATGTCAGAATATTAATAAAAAAAAACAATAGGATCAAAATCACTCCTGATTTAAAAACAGTGATAACCATGAACAAGAACCACTTCTTGAAAAGAAGCACTTGATGTTCTCAAGATTAAACATTTCAGGTAGATGTGAAGATATTTGTATTTAAAAAGCAAGTAGTTATCTTTCTTGAGGACTGTAATGGATATAACAATTGAGATATCTAGAAACTTCAGTTAGGATGTTAAGGAGGAGCAAATGCTAATACAGGTTAAGAATACATTATCTGAAATTCTTGTGACTGGAAGTGCTTCAGTTTTCAGATTTTTTTTATTTTGGAATACAGTCTTTTCAGATTTTGGAATTTATATATAGCATCTATAAAATGGGGCAGCTAGGGAATGCATACACAGCTAATACATATACCCTGAAGGTAGTCTTATCAAGGTTTGTACAGTTCCTGGAAAACTTGAAAACTCCTGGAAAAACAATAACAACCCAATAAAAAAGTCCTGGAATTTTCTAAATTGGGCTGCCCACACATCCCTAAGGAAGGAAATTAGTGAAAAACCTATACTCCTATTAAAAAAAAAAAAAACAGGGAAGATTGTGAACCAAACTATAGGTGAACCTATCGACTCCTATTGTAGAAAAAAATAAAAATAGTGAAAAATTCAGAGTTTAGGTAGTGACATTAGAAATATAGAGTGAAGTAGAATTTAGCAAGAACCAGAAACCCAATGTTAAGCTGGAAATAAGAGGTAAACCTCTACTCCTGTTCAAAAGATTGTGGAGAAGTGTAAACCAGATGATAGGTGAATCTGTCTA